GGGCTCGCGGATGTCCACCAGCTGCCGCGCCAGCCACCGCAAACCCCTTTGGGTCCCGTTTCGGCGCAGCGAGGTCTCCAGGCCACCGCGCTCCGGCCGCGGGCAGTTGGTACTGCAATTCAGCCACAGCGAGCCCCCGCGCTCCACAAGCGCCACGCGGGGCTGCAGGTCCGCCCAGAAGGGTTCCTGCGCGACCGCTACCCGGAGAAACGCGGGTCAGCGCTGCTTAGCTGAGATCTTAGCGCCGCTACACCGAGTCGAGGGCGCCTGGGGGGAACTGGCAAAGGCCACAGCCAGAAAACAACCCAGGAGTCCCAAGTCCTGCCCAGGACCAAGCCCAGGCTCCCAGAATCTAAACCTGGAAGGTGTCTCTGGGACATGGTAGCGCAGAGCTCTGGTCTCCAAGGCGCCGGTGGCGCGGTGGGAAAGTATGGGGGGAGGGGGGAACCAGAGGAAAGATGGGGTCTTCCAAGCACACAGCAACGCTTGAAGGAGAGGACCTCGGTTGGGGGATGGGGAACAAACAGGTTCTCAGGGTCCTGGTGGCTCATCGGGAGCGGGGGAGACTGAGGTTGGGGAGCCGGCAAAGAGAGAAGAGCTTGGGTCAAGGATTAAGGAAGACCCCAGACCTGGGCTAAGAACCGGGCAAGGACGCTAGGTTGGGTTCATGGAAGCAGCCGCGGGACCCGGTTGCCAGGGCTCCGGGCGGAGCGGGAACAGCGCTTCTGAGTCACCGCAGTTGGGGAGGTGGGTTCTTCGCGGACCGTGAGTGGGGACGATGCCAGTCCGTGGACCACGGTGCACAGCAGAGCGTGAGAAGGTTCCAGGGAAGGGATAGGAGAGACGCTGGGGTCTCCAGAGCGCGGGGCTGGGTGCAGAAGAGCACCCAGGATCTCCACGGGGGGTAGGGTAGAGACCTGAGCGAGCGAGGTGTCGGGAAGCTGGCTCTCCGGTGCGTGTTAGGGGGAGGAGGATCGGGAAGGCCACGGCTCAAGGTGGGGGCAGAAGCGTGGGAGCCAGGCGAGGGCGGAGCCAGGAGGGCTGGAGGCCGCTTCTCGGGTCCGGGAGCTCCGCCCCCGCCCTGTCCACCCCGAGCCAGGGCAGGCTCTTACCTGAGAGGCCGAGGAGCCCCAGGCCCAGGGCAGCCCAGAGGCCGAGTAGCGCCCGGCGCAGCCCTGGCGAAGGCCCTGGCATCGCCGCCGCGGGGGAAGCGAAGGAGGCGAGGGGAGCGCGAGCGACGAGCTGGGCTAGAGGACGGCGCGGCGCGGCGCGGCGGGTGGGGTGTGGGGGAGGCAGAGTTGCGCTCGGGGATTGGTTTAACGTTGGTAACTTGGTTTCCAAGGAGGGGGCGGCGGCAGAGGCGGCGGGGGGGCGCTGGGCGAGCGTGTGCTAGGCTCCCGGCCTTGGTGAAGGCGAGCTGGCGAGAACAAGCGACCCCCGGGGTCTACGTGGAGGCCGGCCCCATCGCCCGGAGCCTTCTGGGGGCGACCACGCTCTCCCGCGTCATCCCCGGCGGCGACGCGGAGGTCGGGGGATGCTGGGTCGCCCTTCCCAAACCCCCTCCCCAGCCTTGGCTTAGATGCTATGAAAATAAGCTGGACTCCGAGCTCCGCCCTCATGGTTAGCTCCTCCCACCAGCGCCCCTTTGGGCGGGGATTGAGTAGGGGGCTCTTGGAGGCTGGGGAAGGTCAGTTCTAGAGGAGGACATGCAGACCCCTCCCTCGCCGATCCTTCTCCTTTTGGCCTGGGGGAGCAGAGGGTGTTACAGCCACGCCCCTAGCCTCCTCCCGCTCGCCCCGGCACGCGACGGAGGGGGCGGGGACGAAAGTGCCAGCGAGTCGGAGACACGTGTGCGTGCGCGCAGCGTTCGGGGGCGTCTAAATTAGATCGGCTCGGCTCCGGGTCTGTATTTACCCAGCGTGCAGCGGACACGTGTCTATTCGGCCTATGTGCGCGCGAGCCGCTGAAAAAGCGCCCCGGAATCCGTCTTCTGCGCGGTGGGCTGAGCCCTGGAACAGGCCGGCTCTGCCGGGCACCCTTAGTACGGGCCCGGATTCTGCATCCACGCAATATCGAGAGACCAGCGGTGACGCTTTCGACCCTGTCTCCCGGCTCCAAGCTTTAACGCGTCTCCATGTGCCAACCTGGCCCGGTGACGACCAGGATTGCATTCCATGTGGGCCCTCTGATTTTCCCTTTCCACTGTCACTGCATGGGCACCTCCTTTGCCAATGTCATGTCCTCAATTTTCCATGTGGCCCCGCCCATGTGTGGTCTCACCCTCAGCGTTAACGGGTGAACGATGGGCTTAAGTTCTCGCTTCACTGTTGGCCTGCGGGCAGACTCCAGGTCTAAAGTGGAGATGGGGGGTGGGAAAGGAAACTTAGCATCCAATCAGAGCCGCTGCGTGGTAGCGAAGAAGCCAATCAGGAAAAGCCATCCATGAACCAGCCCTTCCCGCGCCCAGAGGCTCTCCAGAGCAAGATAGAGCTTAGCTCGTCTGCAACGCTTCGATAATACCTGCAGGAGAGTTTTACAACACTACGCCCGCTAGGTGGAGAAGAATTGGGACTCTGGGACCCCAAGTGGGCTCTGGGCGGGAAAACATCAGGTGCCCTTAAGGAGACAAGGAACTTGGAGAAAGTGATAGCCCGCAAAGGGGACTATTTAGGCCGCGCAGCAAAGAGTGGCTTGAAGAAAGCTTTATTGATCTGGGCAGCTTCCCCCAAATTGTCCCAGATTCCTTTCTCCTCCGGCTCGCCCGGCATAAGCCATCCCTCTACGACTGGGTCTGCGTCGTCGTTCGGCGCTTGTACAGGTAGGCAGCCCCCACGGCGAGAAGGATCCCCACGAGGGCAGCTATGGAGGTGGAGGCCAACACTTTGGACTCGGGACTTCGAACTGGGGGTAGGAGGTGAGAATCAGGAACCGAGCCCATGGAGGGCTGGCGACCCGCGTGGAGCTCACGCTCGGTCTATGCGCCCTCCTGTGGCCCTAACTTTCCCCCCTCTCCCCAAGTCCTCAAGATTTCAGGGGGACCTCACCGAGGAGGGCCAGCGTCACGGGTGCCGAACTGCTGCGGACTATCAAGCCGTCCAGGTTGAAGCGTGCGTGACAGGTCACGGGCTGCCAGTGGTCGCGGGGTCCAGCGTGCCACAAGTAGGTCAGGGTCACATTGGCCAGATCCAGGCCGGTATAGCGCTCTAGGCTTTCGGAATGGATGACCCGGCCTCCCCGTCTCAGCGTCACCACCAAGAAGCCCACGGGGAATACATGCGTCACGTGACAGCGCAGAGTGTACTTGCCGTCCTCGAGGACTGGAGGGTCCAGAATCACGCTGCGCGGCCGTTCTAAGGTAAGAGGGGGGCCCCCCCAGTAAGATCCGCGAGCGCCCCTTAGCGCGTCCCTGTCCCCTTCCCCCAGCTGGGCCTGAGCCCAGTCCCTCACTGTAGGCGGTGATCCTGGAGGTGGCCTCGCGCGTTTCTCCGGCGCAGGTGACGAAGCAGCGCACGTCGGAGCTCCAGGCCCGCACGTCGAGCAGCTGGTAGGATACCCAGCCCGGCCCGGTGCGCTTCTGGCCCAGCCGCAGGCGCGTGCGCAGTCTGGGCTCCTCCGGCAGGGGACAGTTGCTACTGCAGTTGAGCCACACCGAGCCCCCCGGCGGTACCGCCGCGAACTCCGGGCTTAGTCTCACCCAGAAGGGCGCCGAGGTCCCCGAGGGTGTAGGAGGGCTGCCCCTGGGGCCTTGCACCCGCTCAGCCCTGCGTCCCCGCGCGCTCCCGCCTCCCAGGCAGGCAGCCACCAGCCAAAAAAACAGAGACAGCGGGAGCAAAGACCCCATGGCAGGGAGCCCGGACTGAGGCGCTCCCCCCCTGGGAGGCCCGGGCGGGCTGGCTCTGGAGATAAGGAGACGCGCAGCCCCACCTCCTCAATCCCGCCTGGGAGAGGAACCAGAGGCCCTTAGAGTCAGGGCCGTGCCCAGGAGCCCGGCGGAGCCTTTCTCCCCAGACTCAAGAATGCAATTCCAGGGCTGGCAGGTGGCACAGTGGTTAAGGTGCTGGACTCCACATGGGAGTCCTGCCTGCAGTTCTAGTTCCAGTCCCAGACCTAGCAGTTTGCTTTCTCACACTCCCTCTCTCTGGTCAAATGAAAAATAAATAAATGTGGTCAAATTATTATTTTTTTAAGAATTATTTTATTTTAACTTTATTTATTATGATTGTTACTTTCCAGTTTGATCAGACAGACAGAGAGAGAGAGGGGGAAAGTGAGAAAGCAAGCCACCAGATTCAGGACTTGAACCACGGTCGGCCATGCTGGCCCTAAATCTGGTCAAATTATTAAAAAAAAAAAGAAAAAAGAACGTGATTCCAGACTCCGTTGCACACTGAATGTCATTGTGTTTTGTTTTTGTTTTGAGAAGGGATTTTAATTGTAACTGGTGTCCCAAAAAGTCATAAATAATCCTAGATTTGGTGACTAGCAGATGATGTAGCAGTTACATCGCTGGAATCCCACCTGGCCAACTGTGTTTCAAGTCCCAGACCCGGTGGCTTGAAAAGCACGCTGAGTCCAGCAGGTGGCGTGGTGGTTAAGGCGCTGGACACTCCCACATGGCTGACCAGGGTTCCCGTCCTGGACCTGGTGGCTTGCTTTCTTACTTTCCCTCTCTCCCTCTGGTCAAATTAAAATAAATGAATGAGTAAATAAAATTAAATAATTCTTTTTTAAAAAGAAAGAAAAGCACGCTAGTCGTGTGTGCCCAAGATCCCAGGAGGAGAATGAAGGAGAAGGGAATGTGGCATGGCCCTCTCTCCATGGGAGGCCTCCAGAGCAGAGAGGGTGTCCTCCCCGGCCTGGCTCCTCTCCCCACTGTTTGCAGAGCCTGGATCACTGCTGTAATATGGAGAGGTAGTGTTCATTCCTGCAGGTCCCTCTGAGACCGAACCAGGCCCTACAAGGCAGGGGCACTGGAGATAGGAGAAGTTTCCCTCAGGGACCAGCAGGTGGCTTGCTGGTTAAGGCGCTGGACTCCCACATGGCCGACCGCAGTTTGACCCCCGCACCCAGTTGCTTGAAACTCCAGCCTGGTGCATGTGAGTGCATGCCCAAAATCCTGGAGGGGAGAATGGAGAGGCCGCTTGAAACTCATGCTGGTACATGTGCGTGTGTACCCCAAATCCTGAATGGAGAATGGAGAAGGGATGGCTGGACCCCACATGACTGATGTCGCTGTTTGAATCCCAGTGTCTTAAAAGACACTCCAGGTGTGCGTATGTGTGTGCCCCAAATCCCAGAAGTGAAGGGATTGGGGCCAGCAGGTGGCGTGGTGGTTAAGGCACTGGACTCCCACATGGTCGACTGCAGTTCAAGTCCCAGACCTGGAGTCATGCTTTCTCATTTTGCCTCTCTCTCTCTCTTACTCTGTCCCTCTCTGATCAAATTAAATAAATCAATCAAATTATGTTACAAAAAAGAAAAAAGAAAGAAGGGGTCGTGGTATCGCCATTCCTCATGCAGGGTGCTTTCTTGCCCCTCAACCATGTCTCTGTGGAGTGCATGTACCCTCTGCAAATTAAAACCAAAGAAAAAGCATCCTTCCAAAAAAAAAAAAAGAAAAAGAAAAAGCATCCCTCCTGGGAGGCAGGAATTTGACCGCTAGAGTGAGAAATGCCATTTTGCCAGGCACACTCATGCAGCGCCCGGCCAGTCCCACTGTACCTGGGAGCCCTAAATGAGGCGAGACCCAGCGCGTCCCGAGGGCGGGAACCTACGTTCACCTGGTTCGCTGTTCTAGACTACCTACAAGGCACTCAATAATTAACCGGTACAACCACAAACCAGGGGCCGGCAGGTGGCGTGGTGGTTAAGGGCACTGGACTCCCACATGGCCTACTGTAGTTCAAGTCCTGGATCTGGCGGCTTGCTTTCTCACTTTCTCTCTCACACTCTGTCTCTCTCTGGTCAAATTAAAAATAAATACATACATAAATAAAGTTCAATAAAATAATTTTTTTTAAAAAAAAACAATAAATACGTCATCATTAAGAAGATCAGTAGACAGCAGTGCCGGGCCTGCTGTCCGTCAGATGAAGGAAGGGCCCTACTAGCGTTTCCATGTCTGTGTGGGGTCATTCCTTTCTTGGGGATGTCAGTTTCAGTATGTCCCAGCTGTGCGTCCCTCCCACCCCCATGGCGGGATGATGTGTCATTCCCCATGTAGCTGGGGTCACACTGGACATCCCTCGCAGTCATGTCCTCGTGTCGTCCCCTCCCCTCGACTCAGGCCTATGGCTCCGGGTCAGGGGAGGCCTGGGGGGTCGTAAGTGTGCAGGTACCATGACCCCTTATGCTGTCTGCATCCTGACCGAGGCCACTGCCACCGTCCTGTCCTGGGTGGCATGGGGAGGTAGGTAAGGCCATATGGCATTATGTCCACCGCTCTCTGTGACACTGCGGCCACCGTGTGGGGGAGAGAAGAGAAGGTCCTGCCCTGGGACAGCTCAGGCCTGGGTGGCTTGCTTGGTTAGCTTCATGGTGGCTGCCTCCTGGGCTTTCTGGAGTCTATATTTCTTGATCTTGCGCTGACGGTTATAGAGATAGACGGATACACCCGCAATGCCCAGGACGACCGCAGCCACCACCAGCATTGCGATGAGCAGTGTATTATCCTGGTCTGTGGGGAGGATACGGCAGGCGGTGAGGATCAGGCAGGGAGGGCGTGCTGTCCCCCACCCCTCCGGCCCCCAGCCCTACACACTGGCAAACTCACAGAGAACATTCACAGACACCTCACGGGTGGCCTCCCCCAGAGCATTCTGGGCCCGGCAGATGTAGGTGCCTGTCAGATCCCGCGTGACAAGCCCCAGGTCGCCAATACGCAGCAAAGCCCCATCCCCTTTCCGGCGACAGTTCAGCTGTGGGGGTGGGTTCCCCCGGGCCTGGCATTTCAGGGTCTGCGGGGTGCCTTCTTGCCATGTCCAATTTCCAGGGCAGTCTCTCTCATCCAGTCGGGGGCCGTCTGGAGAAACACAGAAAGATGAAGGATGGGGTGGGGCCAGGAGATGGCATGGTGGGTAAGGCACTGGACTCCTACATGGTGGATTGCAGTTCAAGTCCCAGACTGGGCAGCTTTCTCACTTTCCATCTCTCTCTTTGTCTCTCTTTGGTGAACTCATAGGCGCTATAGCAAATTTAAAAAATAATGATAAGGGCTTGGCAGGTGGCGCGATGGCTAAGGCTGCTGGATTCCCACATGGCTGACTGCAGTTTGAGTCCCAGACCTGGCAGCTTGCTTTCTCATTTTCTCTTTCTCTGTTTTGTCTCTGGTCAAATTAAAAAATAATAACAAATAAATTTTTTTATTAAAACAATTTTTTTAGGGACCAGCATTTGGCATAATGGCTATGTCGCTGGACTCCCATGTAGTCGACCGCGGTGTGAGTCCTGGACTAGGGGGCTTAAACTCATGTCAGGCACATGTGCGTGTGTGCCCAAGATCCCAGGAGGAGAATGGAGAAGGGATTGCAGTGTGGCCATCCCACCCCCGGGGGGGTGTGATTTCTTATTTTCTATCTGTCTCTGACAAGTACATGTGCCCTATAGCAAAAATCTCTATTAAAAAAATATAATAATGATAATAAACAAAATTAAATAAATCATTCTTTTTTTTTGGAGAGGTTTTTGCTATAGGGCACGTGTGCTCGCCAGACAGAGAGACAGAGACATAGAGACAGAAAGCAAGAAATCACCCCCCAGGGGAGACGGCCATGCTGCAATCCCTTCTCCTCCATTCTCCT